GTTCAAGGCAAACAACTAATTAGATCATATTAAAACTAAAAACAAAAGACTAAGATGCACAGTGTATTAATATGAATGGCTAGATAATATAAATTTTATTTAATAATTTAAATTATTAGATTAAAATAATTTTTTAAAATGATATTAGAGTTTTAACGACCAAATAATCGTGAGTTTGAGTTTTATCATTTTTTATTTATTTGATAAGAATTAAGTATAAGGTAATATATATTTATATAAGTTTCAAGCTTAAAGGGTTTTTCTTTAAAAAAAATATTAAAAAATAATATAAATTATATCTTAAAATTTTATCTGATAGATTAAATTATTGGATTGAAATGATTCTTTAACATAAATTAAAATTTATTATACTAGAAATCACAATATAAAATAGTCTTTCCTTTAACATAAATTAAAATTTATTGTACTAGAAATCACAATATAAAATAGTCTTTTCATGATATCTATTTATTATTATCAAATTAATTTATAATATTTTATAATATTTCAGTTTTATCAAATAATATCTTTCCATTATTCGTTAATATTTTATAATATTTCAGTTTTTAAACCCCCAGCAATACCGCCACAACTATCCCATGGAAAAGTTTATCTAGTTTTTATATATATATATATATAATTTGTAAAATTTCTTATTGTCAAAGTTTTACGGCACTATGTTAATATAAATATAGGAAAATATCAAATGCTAATTCTTCTTGCCTTTTAGTAGTTACATGGAAAAGTTTATTTATGCCAATATGCTGCAAAGAGCATTGCCATCGAAAACTAGGTTTAGTGCTTTGTTTTTGTACTCGTACTAATTGATGAAAGAGGCATAAGTGGACCTAGCCAACCCATTTCCTCGGAACAAGGGTCTGATCTATTTCTTTTTCAATATATATGGTTTTATGCTATTAATTACCTAGTTAGTGATCCACAGAGGATCACATAACGAAAACTTTAATATTACTTTGGATTTGATGAGGACTACCAGCAAGAACATGTTCGTGCACTCTCTTGGTTGCTCCTTTTTTTTTTGAAAGAATAGATTTTCATTGCATTATTATCTATGTATGTCGGGTGCGAAGGTCCACTAAGAAACAAAATTGTTAATATCATCAATACTTTTGATGAGTCAACTTTATTATATTTTTTATTTATTTAGTTTTTGTTTTGTCCTTTAAAATATATTTGTCTAAAATGCATATTAGTACTTGAATTTAACTTTTAATCAAGTAAGCTTCACATTCAAAATAGCATGAATCTGATACGCATATTAAATTCAAGACATCTGAACTTGACAATTAATTAAATCCAACCTGATGGTGGCATTAACACCAGTGTTGTTGAGGCAGCAACTAGGACGAATGATGGTGGTTCGTGATGGTGTTGCTGCTAATAGCAAGAGAGAGGGGGAGAGAGTTTACTTTTCTTCTCTTCATCTTTGTTTTTTTTTCTTTTTATTCCCTTGTTTGTGTTCTCTTTTGTGTTTCCTTTTCTTTTCTTTCTTGTTCCTCTTTATTTTTTTGTTTAAATGTCTATTTTTGTTGTCTTTCCTTCATTTATGTATTTTTTTTTCATTTCATCCCCCCTTCACCTCTTAGCGAATGGGGAGCCTATATCACCCTACCTATGTCCAGCCATGCCAAAAGGTAGGGCAGTTAGGGAACTACTATGCAGTCGCCTGTAGGGTTTATTGATTAGTACTTAAAAATATATTTTTATCAAGGTTTTATATTAATATTTTGCACTTGAAGTATCAATAATTCCTTAACTAAAGCATGTTTTATAATAACAAGTCTGATACTATAAGATACCTTTAATTTATAATAAATATTCATCTTAAATCCAGGCCTATCACATAAATCAAAGGATTGATTGATGAGTTCAACTACTAAAATTAAGAAGACAAAAAGAGGGTTAAGCTTAGAAAAAATATGTTAGTGCAGTCCACAGTTATTAGGTCATATTTGGAGCTGTATAACTTAGATTTGGGTATGCTCTATATGGATAGAAAGCTAAGACATAGGTTTAAAACATTCATGATTATCCAAACTCAATTCTACCATTTGAAAGTCCAAATCTTAGCATCAAAAGAGAAGTCGGAATATGTCCTACAGTCCAAACATTGTTCAATGTTCAACCCATATATTGAGTTTTAGAAGTCCAAATGAGCTAAGATTTGGATATGCTCTATATAGATGGAAAACTAAGATATAGGCTTAAAACATTCATGATTATCCAAAACTCAATTGTACTATTTAGAAGTCCAAATCTTAGTATCAAAAGAGAAGTCAAAATCTATCCTGCAATCTAGACATTGTTCAGTATTCAGCCCATATCTTGAGTTCTAGAGGTCCAAACGAGCTTAATTTTTTTTTATTGGAAAGCTGAGACAATTTCCTATAACTTTCATGATCCAAGTACGTTCGAATTCTGATATTAGCAATGATATTTTGTTCATACAAAAAGATAATGATTATTATCAAGTCAAGAGTTGGGTACCCACTCAACAATTAGTCATTTAATCAATAGTTTCAAATTTTGGCTTATAAAAGGAGGCATTTATCATGCATTTAGGCATCTTGGTTTTTAGATCAAGATCATGTTCTTACTCTTTCTTTTTATATTTTTATAATGTTTAAATTTTGCTTTTATTAATCTCTTGTTTACGTTTTTTCGGTGATCTGCCTACTCTCTCACACACTCCTATGTCCTTGCTGTGAAATGATCAAACTCTGTAGCATAGCTACAAGAACGCTACAATGACATATGCTTCCCCCAAGATCATTATTTTCGTTGTTATTGTCTCTTTATTTTGAGTTTAATTAGGCCCTTCATTTAGGACAAAAAACAAAAGATTTAACGAGGCCCTGTGGGTTTTGGTCATCCTTTTTAGACTTGGAATTTGTCGGCTTTGGGCCCTATAACCGACACCTATGCTATGAAAGAAATTTCATTTGTTGTTAACATAAATTATAATTATGAATACCTAATAATATTTACAAGTATTAGCATTATTCAAATAAGATAACTA